GTTTCCTGGTGTAGTTTAACTACGAACAACAACTGTTTTATAATTACACACACACATACATATATATATATATATATATATATATATATATATATATATATATATATATATATATATATATATATATATATATATATATAATACAAATATAGCATTTTCAATTAACTGATTGAATTTATCATCAGCATCCTGACTCTAGAGTTTAGTAGCAATATATATATATATATATATATATATATATATAATTTAATCTTCGGTAAATGATGATCATATGCGTATTTATCCGTTGCAGTTATAGGCGCCATTTCATTTAATAATAGTAATAAAGAATATATTGCTTTATATGCACATACACAGACACATATACACACACTCATGTACAATTGTCTAAACATTTGTATGTTATAGTGGAATAGTATTCAGAATTTAGAATAGAGGTTTTATGGATAGAAACAGCGCGGTATCAACACTATGATGCCGGGCAATTTCACGCATTAAGCGAACATCAGATCATATTTCCTACTCATTATGGACTATATATATATATATATATATATATATGTCAAAATAAAAAGAAAGAACAGTAAGATATATAATCCGGTGTTCTTATTGGTATTTTTATTTTTACAAAAGAGTGCTCAATGTAAATTTACAGAGCATAAATATTATTAATTAACTGATTTAAAGTATGGTTTCCTCGTTAAACAGGAATTACTATGTTTCAAAAAGCGAAGCTAAAAACTTCAAATTTAATTATATAATTAAATTAAAAGAATTAGTTCTGTTTCATCTACAAGCGAATTTTGGAATAACAAATTATTTCAAAATTCGCTTGAAGATGAAAACAGAACGTATGGTTTTAATGTAATTATATAATTAAATTTGAAGATTTTAGCTTCGTTTTTTGAAACATGGTAATTCCTGTGTAGCGGAGAAACCATATTTTAAATCAGTTAATATATATATATATATATATATATATATATATATATATATATATATATATGACTATTTGCTTATACCGCAAACTACATCTACATATCAATTCCGCATTTCATTTCCTCCAAAGTAGTCCCCTTCTGAAACCATACACATTTCTCGTTTTTTTTTTCTTCTGTCGATGGAAGCATTCCTGGAACTCTTTTTTTCGGTAATAGCGAGCAGCTGCTTCGTTGCATTCTCGCGGATTTCCTCGACGTCTTTGAAATCCTGTTCCTCTCAAGCGAGAGTTGATGTTTGGGACAAATCACAAGGATCTATATCTTGAATATAGTACTTGTCGGATCTGGGGGATGTAGTGTCTGACCAAAAACTGCTTCAAAAGATTCGCTGAATGTGATGAATCGTTTTGTCATGGTGTAGTTGCCACACACTAGACGCTTGCAGTTCTCTCCTTTCCTGATTAACAGCACCCCACAAACGGCGCAACACGTCAAAGTATTACTCGTTGTTTACTGTCCGATCACGTGGAGCATACTCAGGTCCTGGTATCCGAGGAAAACTGTTAGCTATCTCTTCCCAATGATTCGACTAATTCTTGCTTTCGCCAGTTTTGCAGAGGTTTGTGTGCCGGGATTATAACGCTCTAGTTGGACTCAAAAGAGATTGGTTGAACTCTAAAGTAGTTTCTTCCCGTTTTTTTAAGGCTGTTGTTTCTAGATTATGGAGTACTATCAAGGATTACAGACACAATCTTTAAAAAGCAAGTGCCATTTAATGGTCATTGCTGGAGAAGTAAACATTAAGTTATATATACGTTTGTATTATAGGATCCAAATTATAATCAAGAGGTAGAGTTGCAGGAACCGTCGTCTATTAACTCAACGATGATGCCGGAATCAATAAGGAAGAAATGGACCGAAGTATGGACGACAGAACTAGTTGGAAAGAAAAAAAATCAGACGTTTTCGCTTGAAGACAATCTCATAGTCAACAGCGAATGTCTTAATAATAATCGATATAAAATAATATGAAATAATCGTGAAAAGAACGAAGGCGAGAATATCAGTTTTTGTTCAAGAGTATAGAGTATTTATTCATAGTTTATAACTTTAAACTTTATTCTTTAGTGGATATATGTACATGAGTGGACCTTTTGTTTTGTCTTGTTTTTCTGAACATTGTGAATTAATCAGTCACCATGTTCCTTCGAAGTTCTAAGAAGATGTGCCCGCCGATGAGTTCGAAACTGCATCAAATGTTTACAGAGGAAACCACCGTATGATCTGGCGTGTTCTAGAGCTTCCCAGAATGTAGGCCATTTTTTATTTTTTTTTATCGGCTGCCAATTTGCAAACCTTATCGAACCGATACGATGATTGGGTAGTTTCTTAAGTGTCGTGTTAGGGGCGGTATCACCCAAAATTACTTGTACATACGGCTATCCTATGTTCTCTTTCTTTCTCTTTTTTTTTTTTTTTTGTTTTGCACGTCAAGTTAATTTCTCAGATGATGGATTATCATTTTTATAAACTAACATATCTTGACTAACTCTCCATCTTGCTTTTTATTAACCAAACTGATAATTATATTCTAATAATTTCTTCTGTAGAACTTCCTGCCTCTCTCTTTTCTGTCCAATAAAATCTTCAAAAACTTCAATGCAATGTCAATCGTCGTTATCTGTCTCCTTGCCTTCTGTTTCAATGTAACGTTTTCACAGTAATCTCCTGTGTCTGAGTGACTTTATCTCCTTGCTTGGGATTACGGTCAAATCACGTTGATACATAGATTCTCATTTGATCTCTGATAGTAAGCAGTGTTGAGATCGGCTGGTGATTACAGGTGGTACAGCTTGGAAACACCGGATAACTGTAAGCGACCTCCCACACTCCCAAATATATTTAGGCTTTAATTAACCCTGAAAGGGTTGATAAGCTGTAAAAAGAAAATCAATCAATCGTCTTGCTGAGAGTGAAACGATTTTTAGAAATGTTCACGGTACTAGTCCGAAGACTAGTTCTTATAATTTTTATGATGAATAACTCGTACTGTTGTCGAACCACTGAAATTACATTCAATCTACAACTGCCAATTCCTACTGTTTGGATAATTATGTATCGACTGTTTAAATATTTGTACGAATATTCGTCTCTTTATTAAATGTGTTCAGGAAATAATTGTACGTAATGACATTTTCAATATTTTCATTTCTTCAGCTGAGAGAAAAGCTTTAATTATTTTTGTCTTAATATAGACTTAATAACTACGAGGCCAAGTGTGTGCGCGCATGCGTGCTTTTGTGAGTGTGTGCGCGCATGCGTGCTTTTGTGAGTGTGTGCGCGCATGCGTCCTTTTGTGAGTGTGTGCGCGCATGCGTGCTTTTGTGAGTGTGTGCACGAAGGAGAGTTTTTTGGTGGCGTGTAAGTATAAAGAGAGAAAGAAATTTGAACGAGAGGAGTAAAAGAAAGAAAGGGCAATGTGACTGAGAAAAGAGAGTTTTCTTTTCTGGCGTCTATGTATAAGAATCAGAAAGATAATAAAAAAAAACTCGTGAATCAAAAAAAGGAAATCGGGAATGGAAAAGACAAGGAAGGCGAGGGTTAATTTCTTTGTGGGTGTAAAAGTATAAGACGAGAGATAAAAAAAGAGAAAGAGTAAGGCGATAATGAAAGAAATAAGAAATGATGTAAAGAGAGATCTCGCCAGATTTATTGCAGACGTGTCGGTATAGGAAGGTAGAGAGAAGGTGCGAAAAGTGGGGAAAAGAAGTAAAAGAAGAAGTCGGTGGGGAGCGGGGAGAAGGTAGACAGGGAGATAAAGACGACGTTGCTTTGATTAATTGTGATTCCACACCTGTGATTTGTCTTCGACGATGTGTTTTTGTTTGTTACTGAAACAGGAGCGACAAAAATGAAGGTTAACAAGTAAGAATCGTAAAATATGTAGAGGAAAACGAATAAAATAAAATAAAACGTGCGTGAAAATCTTATTTAATACATACAAACACCGCATCAATTCAGTTTAACCGCGATCAATCACAAAATAAAACAGTTAGTAAATTTTTGTTAATAATAGCACCAAATTGAAGGAATAGTGATCTTAGAAACTTGGATATGCCGAATTTGGACTATAAACTTTATTACTTTAGGTGAATATACGAAAATTCCCTAATGAGTAAGGAAAGAAAAAAAACAGCAAAAATGAATAAACGTGCTCGCAATAAGGCCGAGTGTCAAACGAACAATTTTTCCCATAACACCGCTTTTTTTAATTATACACTTCGGCAATGTTTATTGTTTTAAAAAGCGATGATTAGGACTGGAATAAAACCTAAACTTATAAAACTGAATTGATATATTTTTTGTTCTTGATAATTTCCTCCCCCCCAAATTAAACAATATTTATTAGACCGTTTATTTACAAGAATAATTCTACCATTTCAACATTCTAAAAACTAATACAATTACAACTAATGAAGTGCAATACGTTTCATTTGCCAATTCATAAAGAAATAAATGTGAAAAAAAATCTCTATCGATAAAAGGCAGGATGTGTGCGTGTGTGTGTGTGTGTGTGTGTGTGTGTGTGTGTGTGTGTGTGTGTGTGTGTGTGTGTGTAAGGCCAAGACAGACTTTGCATTTCCCAACTCCCATCGATAGCGGAAATAATCGATTTTTTCATGCTTCTACGGCACTTTTCATGTAGTTTGCGGCCATTTTCTACTGGCCAGAGTGAGAGCCTATAGCTGGCTGCCACGAATACGCAGGAAGATTCTATTGGCCAGCGTGAGAGCCAGCAAGTGACTGACACGAATGCTAACTAGCATGCAAAAAAATCGATAGCTGCATTCGTCACAAGTGAGAAAAATTTAAATCTGCATGGCACTCTACTCCATTTGGCTCATTCGTTTGCTTAAACTCAACGTTGATTCTGATTCCGCAGAACTGGTTTGGGTGTGAAACAGTATTTGCTGTTAACATTCTTTTTTTCATTCGGTTTTTGCAGTTACGAGTCCTTTTTTTTTTAAAGCTAATCGTTTTGTGTTCATTTTGTTTAGTTCTTTTTTCGTAACAGATTTAATGTTTAGTATAGAGCTTAGAAAAAAATTGCAGTATGAGATAGGCAAGAAGTAAGGCATGTAGCAACATCAGCACGCAAAGGGCACTCCTTTAAAGGCAAAGAAGGGCAAAAATATTTGAAGTCAAGTGATAGCGATTGCTGTATGAGTCGTACGATTTTTGAATCAAGCACGGGCAACGCCGGGCCATGCTGCTAGTTATTTATAAACATTTACTAAATTATTAAAATATGGGAACCAGCTATGATGAAATCCTTATTATTTACCATTTTATAAAGGTCGAATGAATTGGCAATTAGCCGCTCTTTTGCCAACTATTCCAATAAATAATATCATTTTTTAAGCATTTCACCCCAAGCAAGCTAGGAGTGCCCCTAGCACGCAAGGGGTTACAGAGAGTAGGAGCAAGATTAAAGAGCCGTGATAGAAGAATAGATGAAGAGAAGAAAGAGGAATAGATCAAGGCAGCTGGAGATGTCGATTGACATTGCATTTGAATAGTTAGAGATTATAGCGACGAGGGAAGCAAGCAAGAGGAAGGGAGTTTCACAGACGGGAAGTGCAAGGCATGAAACTATTGGAGTAGAAGAGACGGCTACATTTAACCGTTTCGACAGTGAAAGTGTGGGACTGAGATGCCAACCTAGTAGCACGTTTAAATTCATGCTGTTTGGGAACCAGCGAAAGCATCTCGTCGGAGCAGTGAACATGAAAATATTTGTAGAAAAGACAGAGGGAAGCGACGTCACCTCTGTGAGAGAGCGACTGTAAACGAGAGGCCAGATCAGGGCCAATCATATTGCATATCCGTCTCTGGATTTTGTCGAAAACCTTAAGACGAACATAAATGGCAGAAGGATATGGTAAATAAACAATCTAAGAAATAATGTTTATTATTTTTGTTGTCAATTCTCAAGAGAAAGTATAAATTACATATAATCATATGCTTGAGCTGCATTCCGAATCTAATCACATCTTTTTAAAACAATAAATATTGCACAACAGCAAACAGTGTTAAAAAGCGGTGTCGTGGGAAAAACTGTCCTTTTGACACTACGTCTGATCGTTTCCATGTTTGCCAAAGATCCGTTTGATTACGTTACTAAGAACTACGTTAATAATGTATTTTTTGTTTATCGTATATTTTTTAAAATATTTATTAGATTATAGAATTAAAATTGTTCGAATTTATTATTCTTTCTTTTTAATGTCCTATTGTCTAATCTTTCAAATTTATAAGCCTACGATTCGTCCGTGTATCTAATATTTCTGCAACAACTGGTCTATTTCTTCTCTTATATATCGAGAGACTAGCAGTAGAGCCCGGCGTTGCCCGGGGATGTAACAGTAAGAGATAGATCAAGTATCGACCATCATAAAGACTGAAAAATAAAATTGACAAAGATTATTGTTTAAGGTTAATGCACACGCATGTCTTAATTAGCTTGTTTTTTTTTTTTACGAATTGGTCAAATCCAAACTCAAACAAAAACATTGTTTTCAATCGTTATGAGTCTACCGATTGAATAGAATTTTATTATAAACAATTGTCTTGTAAATGGAATTTTTAAAGCATTCTGAATGTAAAAATAAAGAAAAAAGTGTGCAAGACAATAAGAAACACTACCTGCCCAAAAAAAAGTTTTGTTGAAATCGGTTGAAAAATGTAGGAAATCCGATTCCATATATAAACGAACACAGACACACAAACAACCTGGGTTTTATAATAAGTATAACTCGATATGAGTTGTCCCCCTTTCATTCCGCGAAAGCAATGACTTTTAATCGTGTTTTCAAATTGATTTCGTGCAAAATCAATTGTGTTTTTCCAATTTTTGGCGCTGTCAGAACCACCGCAAGGTAATTTTACGTAGTCCTGTGAAGTTTTGTTGAAATCGGTTGAAAAATGTAGGAAATCCAATCCAATATATAAACGTACAGACACACACACACGCACACACACACGCACACAACCTGGGTTTTATAATAAGTATGATTCTTGACAGAACCCGAAGAATCTTTAATGTCATCGCTTCTGACCTGACATTTCGACTCAAGTCATTATACTACCCGACCCAGCGTAGTTTTCCTGTACTTTTCCTATAATTGTTCTGGTAAACTTTCTGCTATGTTACCTCGACTTCACGAATTTAAGCACAGTATTAATTTAGCAACTAGCTCTTATGAACTAACTGCTGAAATTGCAGGCTGTAACTGTAAGCGCCTATGCTAATAATAGCTTCTCACGCACTTCTTGCCTGTGGAAGTCTTTCAGCTTCTTGATTTCATGCCAATTACAATCTTCAAAAATTTCAATACAATCTCAATCGTAATTTGTCTCAGGGAATCTTGGTCTTTTAATGTCCTTTCTCTCCTCAATTTCTTTCATTTTTACTCCCCGTTTGCGTCTCAGTGACTTTATCACCTTGTTAAAAATGGAATGTATGGTCAATTCTTAACTGAACACCGAGTTACAAAAACAAAAACTCGGCACTTGTCGCATCGACCATCGTCAGTATGACCTAATCGCAAACCAGGAAACCTGGTAATTCGCTACCCATTAAGACGTATCTTCCTTCGATAATAATAAAAAAAAACAGATTTAACTTGATGCCCAAGAGGAAAACAAAGATAAACGTGCCACAACACTTAATGAAACCTTACCTTTCAGCCGTTGTAAGCGGATCTATCTGCCCTACATTGGACGACTGATGTCAAGCGAAGTCAAGCCAAAAAACAAAGACTAGATACATATACAGGCTGTCCATAAAGTTCGTGTGCACTTTAAAAAATGTATTTGTATTTGCGATAGAAATAATCTGTAAAAAATGTTATAAAGTTTAATGTACCTAGTTTTAAGTATAGCTAAAATAACTAATGTGATTTCAGGCATTACTGTAAATCAGTTGGCAAATGTTTTCCGTGAACTGCAAAATCGTATAACCCTTTGTATTGCTAACGATGGGAGATATGTGGAAACTTAAATAAAATTTCAATAAAACCTTATAAAATATAGATTGACTTCTTTCTAATTCTTTTTACAAATTATTTCTATCGCAAATGCAAATAAATTTATAAATGTTTTAAAGTGCACACGACCTTTATGGACACCTGTATAACAGGTTAGTTTATACCAGGCGGTGGTCAAACTTGCTTAATATAAGAACTACATACAATAAAGTTCAAATGCTTGAGACATTAACAAAATTTACACATACGTTTTCATTACATACAGATTAACATTAAACTTACGTTGTAATCAAGTGGCGTCTCAATACATACCCAGTAAATAATTATAAAGCTTGAAATTTTTCTTTACCTTTTATATTGACTGTGATAAAAAAAAGAGGCTCGGCCAATATATTTCTAGGAGACACTTTTTAAAGATCAAAGATCCGCATGTGGCTCTGTTACATAGACCCATCAGTTGGGAGGTCTTGGTCAGTGTGCTAATTAATACAATGCTGTATAGCCCCTTTGTGCTGGGGCGCACTTGGACGGCGGTGTCGATTCACTCATGTTGTATCTTCCTTCTCTCTCTCTCTCTCTCTCTCTCTCTCTCTCTCTCTCGAAATGTTTTTGAGTCCAGAGATGAAGAACTTCAAGACAGGGAATATTAACTTAACTAGTTTATTAACGTCGACGTATACCAATTCTAGCTAGCCAGTGAGGGTTGCTCACTCCCTCCACTGTGGAGCCGTTTCAGACACGAACGTCAACACGTTTACATCGCTTGACGCTTAGGGAACAACTTGTCTCTAGCTATCATTCCCACGCTAGTTCAGCCAATCAAAATCGACCTCGTTTATTTTGTCTTGTATCTGACCCCTAAGGTCAAACTCCAGTCCAAGCAGAGATATTATTCCTCCTAAAATTAATAGTCTGGTAAACTATTATTTAACAGCTTGCGGTTTGGCCATCCCTAATTTATAAGAATTAAGCAGCTAGCCTCACACCGACCGAACCTATTCTTTTTAATTCAACGACGTGCTTCTCCTAGAATGATTATCAGAAAGTCCAGACTATTCTAGTATTAGTTCTGGGTTATTTCTGTGGGGAGTGGGGATAGATTACTAATTTTCCGGCTTCCCAGTTCCATCAGCTTCGTATCCGAAAAGTAAGTATAACATTTCAAAGAAAAGATAGCAATAATTTTCAAAGCCGTTTAAATGTGCTTTCTGCTACGACTATTTTATTTTTCTACACCCAGCTATGTGATTGGTTGGTACTAGTGTCAAAGACAAACTTTCGAAGGATGATTTTCAAAACAAAATAACACTCGAAACTTTGATCTTACCTTATTATTGTAGTTTTATGTAACTTCTCTCGACCTTGTACACTACTAAACTTTGGTAAATAATATGATAGTCACGCTCTGCTGTCAGTTTTCTATACTCTTTAATCACAAGTCTTATCATTTAAGGACATATTTGGTGGAGTAACGACCGTAAAAACGTGAAAAAAGAATTGATCAACCAAGTTGAAATTTTAAGAATAACCGTAGATACTAATTTGGCAGTAATGCATTTTAGAAAAGCATTTCCCTTCTTCTTTCTTTCTCTTTCGCTTATTCTCCTTCTTTCTCTCCCGTTTTCTATTTCTTTCACAATTACGACTGAATAGCGAGTTCGATCCTCACTGGGTGCCCCATACCTTCGGCTTTGGGCTACTTCTACGCCAAGCTTAGAAAATCACCATTGGTTTTCGGCTGTTTGGCTCAGGGTGGTTTAAATTATTCTAAGCCAAAGGGCCAAGGGTCATTCACACCAGAAGTAACTCTCCTCTGGTAGGGGTCTGAATTTATTACTCGGCGCCAGAAGGAGAAATGCCAAGGGGGGGTTTGGGTAATTTTTTGCAAGATGTCGTTAAATCCACTTGAAACCACGACCTTGTGTCACATTCGGTAGCGACCTCGGCGCTCTGAAAAATACACTCTCTCATTATTTCATTTGGTCTTTCTCTCTCTTTCTTGTTGTCTCTCTTTCATTCTTTTTCTCCCTGGCTCTCACTCTAGTCGCCTGATGTCTGGACAAAATATCCTGTCACTGGTATGCCATGATATTTGTAGTAGAAGAAAATAAGTCAACATTTAATGAAGTCTTTCTCCCATAACCATCTTGATGTCGATAAAAAAATAGGAATAAGCTGCTACACTTATTGTCAACCTTGATAGAGCCCAGTTGGTTATTTTCTTCTTCTTCCTTTCTATTATTTTTTCTTTTCATTTTTTTTTTTTTAATTTTTTGGCGAGGTTAATTTTATATTAGATACGTTCGTCATCGTAAATGTCTCCCTGCTGACGCTTTACCGAGAATCGCTATGCGATACTTAAAGCATCAACACAAAAAAACGGATAAGACAATCCAAGTTTGTGCTGTCATCGTACTAATGGTCTTTGGAAAGGCATGAATCCGTCATCCCTGTGGCGGAACAACATTTTGAGACCACTGTAGCTTGGACATATGTAATAGCAATAGATTCAAGGATCCAACTAAAAAAAAAATGTAGGCTATGAATAAATTCTGGTGAACTGAACAAGCCCATTGAACTGAAGGTTCAAGCACCTCCCAACACATTTTTTTTAAAATTTGACCAACTAAAGAGGAATTTTTAGGCCATATGTAATGGATATTAGAACATATTCTAAAGTCAACGTTATAGTTAATTTACCTATTAGCCTGTTGTTCTGTCACTAAAATGGCCTGATTTTAACAAAAACTAAAAAAAAATATTATTTTGAAAAATTCAGGCATTTAAAAAGGTTGCTTCAGCGACATATGTGGAATTAGGGGTCTGAAGCTTAACCCATTACCTGCCATGAGCCTCATTTGGGGATCTGTTAAAATTAAACTCACTCCATGTTATTTCTTGTATTTACATTGAATTGCTTACATGCATCGCATTTGCAGGAGAGGTGTAATGGTTAACAAGCTTGTCTCGCTACCACAGTTACGGATGAGTAGTGAGTTCGATTCTCACTCGGTGCCCCATACTTTGCCGCATCTAAGCTACTCATGGAAAACCATTGCATTTGCAGAGGTATAATTTACAGCACTTAGCCTTTAAAGAATTTTTTTATTATTAGCCATAAGAAGACACTTTCTGTTGTAATTTTACATTTCACGAGTAGAAAAATAATGACTATTTTGAAAAGTATTTTTTTTTATTATTTCTAATCAATATTATGTTTTGATGTTTAATACACATATATATTTGATGTTCTCCTAAGACACCTGTCTGGGCCAAAATGCGCCTTAAAAAATTTGGCAGTTAATGGGTTAAGCTTCATTAGTTTCATAGGAGATCCGCTGCTGCTTCTACCACGCATTCAACTCTGGATAAATAAAAAAACAGCAGTGATACACTCCATCTACTGTGGGAGAATTTGCTCTTACGAACAAGTAAAATATAACTTAGCCTTCGCTGCATTTATAAATACTAAACACTTCAAATACCTCGATGTATAGGTCAGTTATAAAAAAAAATTAGTACAGGTGTTAAAGAAACTGAACAGAGGAAGATTTAAAAAAACACTGCAAGCTGATACACACCGTGACATTAAACTCAGAACTCGGATCATGATCTTAAATAGCTTTGAGTTACGGCCAGATCACGTTGCAATACCGGTCCCCGTACGTTCACCGAATAAAAATAAAACGAAGGATAACAAATTAAAAATTAGAGCAAATTAAAAAAAAAATTGATCTAATGGAATAACCTGTCACCCCCATGAATGGTTACACTATAGGTAGTAAGTAAGTCAACTGTCTTCGAGAGACTTGGAGGAAGACTGAGAAAAAGAATAGTGCTCTCTCTCTCTCTCTCTCTCTCTCTCTCTCTCTCTCTCTCTCTCTCTCTCTCTCTCTCTCTTGTTCTTCACTGTCGAACTCTTTTCCTTGTGCAGATAGGAACCCGGACGACGCTTTGCCGAAGGGGAAAGTTTCGTCCGGGGAGGTAGACAGACCCTGAACCCGCTTATGCAGATACTAAGGGAATATTTTTGCAGGAGCCTACGGGCTCGGAAAACACACGATAAACTCGACCTTATGCCACATACATCCCTCGTGGGATGGGGGCTGTTAAATATTAATAGTGTGAGAGAGACGACGCAAGCACGTCCGACCTTCCAACTAGTGGCACTCACTACTAGATTGACCTGTGTGTATAACTTTACCGTATTTCATATTGTACTGGTTGTATACAATGAAACCTTTCTTCTATCATCCACCTGGTGTTTATCCTTTAACACGGAATATAACAAAAATCGAAAAAAGACATGAAAAAAAATCGGTATCAGATAAACTAACAAAGGTTCATATAACATTAAAATAAATGAACCAACCTAAAGTAACTGAACACGTCAGGCTTACGGCGATATCACGCTGAGGCACCGGTTTCCGTACGATCACCAAAGTTAAGCACCGTCGAGCCCGGCCAGTACCTAGATAGGTGACCACTTTGGAATAGAAGGTGCCGTAAGTCTGGATGTGCAGGTGGTTTAATGGATAATGTCTTGGAATTGTTAATCAGAGAGCCGAGTTCCAATTCTAGTTAGATTTGTTATAATCATTTACGGATAAATATCTTTGGGAAAGGTATGAATTCAACACATTTTTTCCCCAGCTACGGGTTATCTAATAAGATTTGTATTACTAAACCATTATTATATAAGAAAAATACTTACAATCTAAAAAATATTTTCTGGCTTTAAATAACCCGCAAGAAAATGAATCAATCAATCAATTAAATAGCTTTCTTCGCATCGCGGTTTTATATGGATGCCATGCATGTTGTCAAACTGAGAAATATCTAAACTGTCAGTTGTATACTGATCGATGATTAAACATGGCTTCTAACCAATGAAGCTTGTAGGTCTTAGCGAGAACCTTTTGTCTTCGAAACGCTCTAAGGCCTACGCTATATTGCCACAAGGAAATTTTCTAAATAAAAGAAACTATATCGCTTGAGGACTTTCAACAACAATAAGTAAAATGAAACGAACAAAAAAGAAGCATTTGAATCAGAACACTAACATAGCTTCATTTACCAAGTTTATATTCGAAGTATAAAATATAAACGCTTTATGAAATTAAGTCAGGGGAGGTCCGTTATTCTTTTCAATTACTTTTTCGTATAGGTCTATCTCCATTCATCCTGTAGTCGATCATTTCTCTAGACAGCTTTCTTTTTTATTATCTATGAACTGTCATGAATTCTTTCGAAAAATCGTGGCGTGGTTTCGCGTTGTCTTTTCCACGTTTTCGAGTTTTCCGCTTCATTGATGTGTTACCACCAAAACCTAGAGAGAGCCAGTTCTCTCCTGTTTTTGAATTCATGTGTTTCCGAAAGACATTTGTGCGAAAATGAACTCAACAGACTAGCCTGAAATTTAAACTCCACTTGCCAATTTTACTTTTAATGCCAATATACGCAGGTTGATTTATGTTTCAAATTTATATTGGAATTTTTTAGATGAGGAATTATTATATGCCTTATTTTAAAAAATTGCGTGCTCATCTTGGTTTTTAACTCATATTTTGTCTATTCTACTCTTTGGCCTCCCGCAGTTATACTCGGCAACAGTTGTGGAGCAAATAAGACACCACCCGGTAACACAAATGATCTAGGCAAGACGCCTTAAATAAAGAACTCAAATTAAGTCAGGGGAGGTCCGTTGAAGTCAGGCAGCTCGTTATCGATTTGTCAAATTCTCTGCCTGCAGAGAGGAACCCAGACGTGGCCGTGCCGAAGGGAGGGGAGATTGACAAACCCGACGCCGTATATGTGGGGTCTACGGGGAAATTTTGCCCAAGCATACGGCCTCGGATTTGCCCTACATAAAAATCGGCTTTGTGCCACATCCTGGGAGGTTGGTAAATACCGGTGCGTTAGAGTCAGTCGAAGAGAAAGAATTAATGACGTTATGGCGAGCAGCCTAAGCAAGACATAATTAATTACAACAATAGCCGTTGTTGAAACTTCAGAAACAACAACAATATAATGCGGAAAAATCTCCAAGTTTTTTCATCCCCAGCGCGGTGGCAAAGGCCATAACAGAATTCACATAATGTTCACATAATAGAATTACCTTTTCTGTTTATCTTAGAAGATACGAGTAAATTTTCAGGCAAGAATGCACCAACCAGGAAGACGAGAAAAACAAGACTTTTCTTGAGAAAGTTTGTACCGGTAAAACAGAAAAATACAGTAATTTAGTTCTACCAGAAAGAAAAAAAAAATGGATAAATTTGCTTTGAAGAAACAGTAAATATTCTGACTAAAATTCTTAGCAAGAAAAGTTCATTATTCAATACTCGTTGGAAGTGTATGAATTTGATGATAAAAGACGAAGATCTTTTCGCATATGCTGGAAGCGTTAACAATGATTCTGACTCCGGATATGTTCAAAGTCTTTATTTTCGTTCAAGGGTTAACTTGGTCCAGATAAGGTTTTACTGTTTCTTACAAAAGTTTTTAATGCAATGGGACCTGCTGACATTACCCAGGGCGGCAGTGAACTCCTGTGTGATAAGCGGCGCAGGAACGCAAAGAAGCGTCCATGAAAGTTGGGTGGCATTTCTTGAGGTACACAGCAACGATCTTATAGATTGTAACACTTCAGGAAACCCAAATTCCCAGTACTTTTTCGGTATGTTACATGGCTTAACGGTTGGACGAATTGCCTTCCATGTAATTCCGTTAAATCGTTCAACCTGCGCATTCCCGGTTGGGTGGTATGGAGTGTTTTTTTTTCTTTTTGCGACCCCTTTTTGAGAGATATTTTCTCAGTTCCTCAAAAACGGTCGCCCCTCTGTCCGGCTAAACTGAACAGTAGATCTATGGATTTAATTACTGGTGTCGTGTGCATGTTTGAATATGGAAAACGAGTGGGAACCGCCAGTACTCGCCAATTACTACAAGTAAATACGTGTTACGCGTAACAGATCTCCTGGCTTTGAGCATTTTTTACAAGTAGTTATGTGAGCATGACAGCCATCCCGTAAATGGTCGGGAATTCCATAGAAAAATCATTTATGTTTTTTGCTTGATAATTCGCGGTTACTGCTAATTCATTAGGTCCGACCGGAGGTTTATAACAATTCTTACATATCTTTGTGGGTTCTGGGTCGACTATTGCTGCCATTTAAGCTTCTAAAGTAGTGTACAAGTCGTAATTCCGTTGGGCTAAGTCCAATGCAGAAGTTTGAACATAAGCATTTTGTAGGTCCAGAGTTTTAGTTTTCCTGAGACGCTACCGTATGGGATGCGGACCTATGCCTGTAATAAAAGGCTCAGGCATAGCTTTATTGCCGCATTCTTCAGCAGTATAGTCTTTGAAGTTGCAGTTCTGCCTCAGCTTTTTCATCTTCCTGAAAATTCATTCAGAGACTCTTCCAACGTCTTTATTCTCGTTGCCAAAAGGTGCCATGCGAAAACCTCATTACATGTTTCAACAAATAATTATCCAATGTCTCTAGAGCCATGTCGAACTTTTTATATCCGTCCATATATTTCAACACGCTGGAACTCGTACAGCTGAAGAGGGAATTTTACTTGTTAGGAATCCTTTCCTTGTAATCGTCTAAATATTTCAACAGAATGGTTCGCCAATGAGCGATAATCTATGGCAGCTGTTGGAAAACAGGAGTCAGTATCCAAGTGTTTTGGAGTCCACGACATTCACATGTTCGTTTTTGTATTCGTTTAGCTAATTAAAGTTGTGATAAGTAAAACAAAACTCAAAACAGAAATAAAAGTGCTAAGCATTATTAAACGAAATTCACCTACAATATTAAAGGGAGGTAAGTCACAGATTATATAGCCTGCGTTGACTATATACTATGTACAATGCGAGCGTAGGATACCACAGTGAATAAAAGCTTTGAATAAAGAATATCTGGTATCCAAGCAGTTAATTCCTGGCTAGAAATTTGAACTGAGTGATCAGTGAGAACTGATATGGAAAATCCCTTAATAATTGAAAACTATCTCACTCCTGAAGACTGAACGGTTCGGCTCAAATTAGGATGACGTTACCAAAAATTCCGAGCAAATTACCAAAATGCTGAGGACAGTACGGAGGTCATAACACCAGAAATTCTGTGAGTATAACAACGGAAATGAAAATGCTGGACCGCAAAGCATAAATTAATTAAAACGTGTATAATGAAATAAGGTCCGAGAGCGCAACGGCCGTGATATTATGAGAATAACAATAAAGACGAGACTGGTGGTCCGAAAAGCAAAAAATATATAAATGATAATTCCTCTGTTGCAAAATTTAAAGAATGTTATGGTAGGATCCACCTAATTTGCATAGTGAAGTACCGACCATATAAATATGGTTGGTACCGGGAAGAGAAGGGAGGAATCAATAGATTCAATCCAGAGACTCTGGCCGACTGCGACTAAGTCAACACATTCTCCAAGAACGGTCTTCCCAGGAATATACAAAAGACTATATGTAAATATTGTGTACACTTGTTTCAATACATTTTGTTCTAAGTACATTTTGTGTTGTATTATTATTCCATGCATTAGTCAAGTTTCAACAAAGCATGAAAGAGGAAATAAGGCCGAAGGGTAGATCGGTCGAAACGTTGTGAGTAGAAGCAAGATGATCCCAATAAGTTATATAATAAAACATATTATGTTTAGTTCCCGAGAAATCAGATATTAAAACAAGAATCGGTAAAAAATAGAAATACGATCCTAATTACATTGAGGATCGATCTCTGACGCTGAACAATCAATAACACAGTTCGCTTTGTCTTTCCATTGACGTCTAACCGCTTACAAAAAGGAGGGAATGAAAAGAAAAGAGACATTTTAATAAGTAGCCAAGAAGATGAATAATACGGCAGAATGTGTAAATCGGAGTTCTTTACTTTGAACGGAAAGGGACAAAAGAAGAAAGGGAAGAGAACAAAGAAAACAGTTTAATTAGCATTCAGGTTGACAGATAATTCAAGCAGGCGTCAGTTGAAGTGAATTGAGTGGAGGAGGAGGGACAGAAGTGGGAGATTAGTTTAATCGACATGCAAACTATGTGAAAACCTTTGAGATTTAGTGGATAACATCTATTTTATAGGCTTTAAGATTCTTCGGACTGTGGTCAGGTGTTGGTGACCGAAGGTTTAATTACACGAAACATGGAAAGAACGAATCGATTTTAAATTATCTCCCGTTTACTTTGCTCTAACCTGTGTCTTCTCACCTGACACATTCAACATTTTCAGTGAGGCGATCCTGAGAAAATTAGAAGTCCGAACAGGTTTCATTTTTATCCGCGGTCACAATCTTAACAGCATAAGATATGCAAACGATACAGTGTTGATGGTAGACACAGAAAGAAGACAGGAGCTCCTACGGAATGTAGTAAAAGAAAGCGAGAAGAACGGACGAACTATCAATTTTAAGAAGGCAAAATTTATAGTTGTCAGCAAGAGGAACAACCAAAGATACGGATTACAAATTGGG